CACTAAGAAATGTATGTATAGCAATGAGAAGAAGGTGAACAAGAGCACGAGGCAGAGCAGGAATCAATCCTGAGGTCATCGAGGTGATCGAGGAAGAGTACCGCGCAAGGAAGAGGGAACTGTACAGGAAAATTCGTACAGAAAAAAGAAGGCACTGGAAAGAGCTGTGTGAAAAACTGGATGAGGACATCTGGGGTCAGGGGTACAAGATCGTTATGAAGAAGTTCCATGCGTATCCTCCTTACGAAATGCCTATGGACAAGAAGCTTGAGGTAACAAGAGAGCTCTTTCCGGGCGGCAGATGTCATGGTGTATGGAGGGATGAAGGAGCTGAGCGGGCTGTACCTTTTACCATGGATGAACTTGTCGAGGCATTGGGTTCACTCAATTCTCGTAGGTCCCCCGGACTGGATCAGATACCACCTGAGGCGGTGAAGGGTCTAGGACGGGTGGAGCCTGCGTGGCTTCTAGAACATATGAATGCATTGCTCGAAGCACAAACTTTTCCTGAGCCTTGGAGGACATCGAGGTTAATACTGATTCCCAAAGCTAGGGAGAAGTATCGCCCCATCTGTCTTCTTCCATGCATCAGTAAGCTGTATGAAAGGATGCTGCGAGTACGCATAGATGACATGATTGAGAGGTCAGGTGGTTTATCTCGGAGACAATTTGGTTTTTGTAAAGGGAAAAGCACGATTGATGCAATCATGAGTGTACTCGAAGCATTGCGCAACAGAGGGAATAAACATCGCTGGGCGGCCCTGCTGTTGTTTGATGTTAAGAATGCATTCAATACGCTGCAGTGGAACGAGGTAATGAAGGCAATGGAGGAGAGAGAATGTCCTGGTTACCTGATGAATGTTGTGGCGGAGTATCTGTCCGATAGAAGGATTATGGTGGAAAAGGGCACAATCGTGGACGTGACGGCCGGGGTACCCCAGGGATCTGTCTTGGGCCCGACGCTATGGAATCTGGCATATGACGGGGTTATGCACTGTGAATACGGAGAGGGTATAACCCCCTTCGCATTCGCGGATGACCTCGCTGTACTGGTAGTAGCCCGGGATGAGCCAGATCTCAAATACCGGGTTTGGAACGCAGGTGGCGTCGTAAAGAAATGGATGACGCAGCACGGACTAAAACTTGCGACAGAAAAAACCGAAGCCATCATTCTGAAGGGGACAAGGAACAGGCAAGGTGTTGAATTAAGATGTGCGGGAGTATGGACTTCAAAAGCCGATGATGCTTTCCGGCGTATAAAAGAAGCTCTTACTAGTGCTCCTGTCATGACTTCTCCGAATTTTAAAGAGCATTTTTACCTCATGACAGATGGTTCCAACACTGCTTCAGGTGGTGTATTATTTCAGATAAAGGATGGTTCGGAACACCCAATAGCTTATACTAGCAAAAAGCTTAATAAAGCACAGAAAAATTACTCCACCACAGAAAGAGAACTTCTTGCAATTATTCATGGTCTTGATGCCTTTTGGTACTATCTTGAAGGTCGTAAGTTTACTGTAATTACGGATCATAGTTCTTTATTATGGTTACATTCTATGAAAAATCCGTCACAGCGTTTGTCCCGTTGGATTTGTAGACTTTCTGTGTTTGATTATAATAGTATTGTACATCGCAAAGCCAATGGTGTGGTTGTTGCAGACGCGTTGTCACGAACTTTTGATATCAATCTTTTAGATCTGTCCACTTTATTTCCAGATACTTGGTATCGAAAGATGATTCATAATGTCACCCAAGAACCTAGTAGATATCCTGATTTCAAGGTGGAAAATAATATCCTGTATAAACACGTTATCAGTCCTGTCGAATCTTTATCGAATATGTCTGATTGGAAAATAGTAGTCCCAACAGCTAATAGGGATGAAGTGGTGAAAACCTTTCATGATGATGTGACATCAGGTCACTTTGGTTTCTACAAAACTTTTAGTAAGATAGCTGAGCTATATTACTGGCCTGGTTTGCGCAACCTGTGATATGCGTTAAAGTCCCCACAAATTATGTTGTCACCTTGTATTTGTGTAAATATGTTCGTCCAATCATTTTTTGTTGCTTGACCCAATGACCCTAATCATTTAACACCTGCGCACTTTTTGATAGGAAAACCACTTTTGTCCATGCCAGACCACCATTGGCTTGATGTCACTAAAAATCGACTCAAGCGATATCAGTTTATCCAACAAAAACTTCAATTATTTTGAAAGAGATGGTTCTCCGAATACATTTCATAACTACAATCCCGAAACAAATGGAAGAAAGCAGAATCTCAAGTACTGGTCCCAGATACACTCGTCCTAATCAAGGAGGATGGGCTTCCTCCCCCCAAATGGTCTTTAGGTTGTGCAAAAACAATCTTTCTCGGATATGATGGTTTTGCTCGTAGTGCAATGGTAAAAACAGCAACAGGACTTATACATCGTCCAGTAGTTAAATGATGTGTATTGCCTTGCTCTTATTAAAGACATATTAGCCTTTAAGGGAGGCGGCTGTTAAATAATGGACACTTAGTTTTATTAGAAGCATGACAACACCGAATCAATTCACGGAGCAATCAACCGATGACAGTGAAAGAGACATTTCTGATGACAGCGACAATTATTAACTATTCGCCATTCATACAATATACTTCTATCACAGAATAATAAACAATCAGAATGTCCACTCTCAAATGCTGCCTTTAAAGTTTTTCAGCACGCGCCATGTTTTAGAAAGAAACACATAACACAGACATATTATTTGTGAGGTTATGTAATTGTTTATATTTATGTTATTATATTTAACAATGTTAATATAATTGTATAGTATGTCTATGATTGCCGCAAGTCAATTAAACCGGGTTAATTTTTCTATGCACACCACATAAACAACACTGGTTCCCTTTAAAACATGGCGGAACGTCTGCGCCACAGAATAATAAACAACCAGAATGCCCACTCTCCATGGAAAATTAAGTACGCGCATTTCCTTCGCGCAGACGTTTCGCCATGTTTTAGAGGGAACCAGTGTAGTTTATGTATTGTGCATAGAAAAAATAACCCGGTTTAATTGACTTACGGCAATCATAGACATACTATACAATTATATTAACGTTGTTACATGTAATAACATAAATATAATATAATTAAACATAAATATAAACAATTACATAACCTCACAAATCATATGTCTGTGTTATGTGTTTCCTTCTAAAACATGGCGCGCGTGCTGAAAAACTTCAAAGGCGGCATCTGAGAGTGGGTATTCTGATTGTTTATTATTCTGTGTCTGCGCAAAGGAGATGCGAGTACTTAATTTTCCATGGAGAGTGGGCATTCTGATTGTTTATTATTCTGTGCTTGTATATCATAAATATTGTAATATACATTCAACAAAGTAAAGTCTTATAGTTACATATAATATCTAAATTAATAGGCCTTAGGTGGCAACAAAAACATCAATTATTATTTATAAAATTATAGTTATTTAATCTGAAACTTAGGTTTGGTTATTCATTTAGTGAAATTAAATTAACGCTTTTTGATTGGATTATATGATTTAAAAGATTTGGTTTGTTTTTTATTATAGATTTTGCATTACACTGTAATTTCCTTTTAAATGTCGTGATTTCCATCATATTGTTAAATAGATCCTAATAATTTTTTTAGTTCATTTTGTGTGTCTTTTATAGCCTGCATTTCTATTATATCTAAATTAAATTTTTTGTAAATATTATTGAATCGGGAATTTTTGTAGTAGGTACTATCATTTCTAATTTTTCCTTGTATATCTGAAAATCTTCTCTATGAGGATTAGGCAAAACTGAATTAGTTGTTTTAATTTTGTTTTGGAAATTTGGTGTTTCTTCTATAATAATCGGTAAAACAGATTTACGTTTTTTTTGGTATTGTGTCCGGGGTACCCAATGTTTATGAGAACTGGTTGGTGTAGATATGTATGTGTTATAAATTTGACTCATTTGTGGAAAATTTTCTAAACTGTTCAATACATTAAACCTGTTATTAGAAGTTACTTTAGAATAACTTATAATGGGTAATCCTCTAAGCCCATTGCTATCAGATATTTTTATGGACCATCTAGTAAGAAAGATTTGAAATTATCCCATATTCAAACAGTTTTTGTATTGGTGGAGATACATAGACGATGTACTGGTATGTTTTACAGAAACAAACAGGCAATTTGACCAATTTTTATCGTATATTAATAAAACTAATAATAGAAACAGCCAAACATTACAAAGCCAAAAGATATAGAAACCCTGTCGGGACAAAAAGTCGTAGTCGGAGAAGCAAGAACAAAATTAGAGAACTGATACCCCTAGTTACCTGCCTTTGAAATATAAAAGGTCCTGTTCTAGTGCCAGTGGAATAATCCAAGGTTATAATCAATAAAAGTCTGAACGCGCGAGAGCGTCGTCGGGGTCTAGCTAAAGTCTTGTAGTGACGCGCCAGCGCGTTTTTGGCAAGGAACCTGTTAATAGCGAATTTCAAATCTTCACATCCAAATTAAAGGCTATCTTTAATTTAAAGCTATCTTTATTAGAATCTATGAAAATCAACAAAATAAAAAATACAGACATAATTCTGAATGACCAACTTGAGACAAACAATTTTCCCCTCCTCATCTTAGTCAGTTAAAGACTATAAAGTGTGAACACTTACCAAAAATAGATCACTTGAGAAAGGCACTCTGGCCAAAACAGTTGTAGTGATAATAATTTAAAATATATTTGGTGGTTATAAGTGTTGAAAACAAAAGTTTTCAGTGTTTTATTGTTCGATAAAATGAATTTCCATCGAGTAACAGTCGAATCCATCACTTATTTAAACTAAGTCAGTACTGAGCATTTGACCATATTGTTTTCAAGATTAGTTTTAAAACGAAGACTTGCGACACAAAACATCTGGTTTTAAACATGTGTTTGCATGATAAAGTGTTTCCTAAATATATACAATTCAAAACGAACAACGTTTTTTACAAAGACTTACATCATGTCCATTGGGAATAGGGGTGACAAATTTTAAGTTTGCCAAGCTTCCGTAACTCCTACTTCTATGCTCCTGCCTGATAGAATAAGAAAAGGCCCTCTCGTTGAGATGGCCCTTCTTCTTATAGATTCCTGTATTAAAAGGACTTTCGTCATTATCTAAATTAGGGTCATCTAATCCATTCATACTTTGTGCTAATTTCTTATTCATTTTTGCCTTCTCGATGGTTTTCTCTTTATTTTTACTTTTCTGCTTTCCTTGTGATTCCATAGTGGCGTAGTGTTGCATTAAGTAGGCCTCGTGAGGAAAATTAACTGGTTGATAACTGGCTACTGGACTTAGGGCTCTATTGCTTGGCATGTAAATGGGTTCCTCTACATGTTTTTGTTTCTTTTTATTCTTGGGAAATGTTGTAGGGTAAATTATTGGTGCTACTGGTACTAATGGCGGCGGTATCGGCCTTGCAGGGATAAGAACTTTGCTTCTTGGTCGATGAGAAAATGTATTACCTGAAATAAAATTTTTAGTTATTTTACTATTTATTCAGGAAAAAAAACTAATTTAATATAATATTTAATTAATAATAAAATATTAATTAACTTTTTCAATAATTATATCGGAAGTATATAAACGCATTGACAAAAATATGGAATATTTTGAAATTATCATAAATATGATGTGGAATTCTGTTACGAAACCATTTTTTTAAATAAAAATTTATTTAACACGTTTTAAGTGAATATTTAAAAAATGAAACGCATTTTAAGTAAATAGTTAAAAAATATTGAACACTGAAATTTTTGGAATGGAAACAAAAATAGCTCGAAACTAAGTATTTAATTGAGTTATATATAATTATGTTATAATTGAGTATTACTTTCAACTGGATAAGCGTCTTGGTAGAGTTATCCCCCTTCCACAAAAAAAGTGTTGAATTAAGTTTTATAATTCAGAAAACAGATTGGGAAGACTTGAGACGAGCAGTGTTTCTTTATTAGAAGTATCTAAGCGAAACAAAATTTACAGAAGATATGTTCCATATTTATACTTTAAGGGTGTGGCAGGAAGGATTGCTGGAGGCAGCTACCTGAGTCAAGATATCCAAAATAGTTTAAATTGGACGTTCAGACGGGATGGTAAGCTTCGTCTGTCATAGCCCTAAATCTTAATATAACTTGGTGGTTTTGGACCCAACACTATATACAGTGCTAGCCAGTCGTATATTTTGAACGGTTATACTATTATAGTGAAATGTGGAAGGAGGAAATAAACTAACGTAGGCTACTTAACTAGTCATAACAGGTGACGTAATAGTCATAGATGACTACAGAGCACTGGGACCTATAATTTTAAATAGGACCTTATGCCAAGTGATATCTCATTTGAAAGGTATTGAAAATAAATATTAAATCATATTAATTTTATTTGGGTTTAAGCTGATTTTGATGAATAAATTAAATAAATACTAAAATTATAGTTTCGCATTTCAGCAAACTTAAACATAACAAAAACATTGATGAGTTTAGTGCAGTATTAAGTCAAATAAATTCAGATTTTAATTTGATAGTACTAACTGAAAATAAACTGAAACTATGTGATGTACAATATTACAATAACCATGAATACATCTTGTATAGTGATTCAAATTTCAATAGGAATGATGGCGTAACAGTATATGTAAAAAAACCATTACATTTTCGCATTAAAAGGTAATTAAATCGCAGACGATCAAGTAGTGATTGCACAAGACCAAGACATCCTCAGCTACATGATGAAAGAAACTACAAGAAAAATATACCAAGGCTAGTATAGATGTTAACCTCGCGAAAACAAAGTACCTATCTACAAGTGAAGACGACATAGAAGATCTACAGGTTGATGACAACGTAACAATCAAAGGAAAGGATCAATTCAAATACTTGGGGTTTATAATCACGAAAAAGGCAACAACAGAGGAAGAAATTACACAAAGATTAGGACAAATAAGAACAGCAATCCGACAACGCAGTATGGTGAGATATACACTTAAATATGAAGACAAAAACACAGATTTATAAAACATTAGTGCGAAGTATTATAACATATGGGGCTGAAAATTGGATTATAAATAAGAAAAACAGCAGTAAGTTAGTAGCAACAGAGATGGAATGCCTGCGAAGATGCTGCAGAGTAACAAGAATGGATAGAAGTAATGACGAAATAAAGCAAAGAACATCAATAGAAACAGACATACTAACATATATAGAACAAAAAAAGATTAAAGTGGTATGGACATGTAAGAAGAACTAACTAACGACAGCAGATAGATAAAGAGAATACCCGAATGGAGCCCCATAGGAAGGAGGAAAAGAGGACGACCCCGAAGATCCTGGAGCAACGAAGTAGACGACGCTATGAGTAAGAGAGGCCTAATATATATATATATATATATATATATATATATATATATATATATATATATATATATATATATATATATATATATTGATAAAGTTGTATTTTATTAATTTTATTTTTTATTATAATAAATGTAATTTTTATAATATGTGGTTCGTTGTTTAATTTAATATACCTCGGCTAGCTCAATTATATGTTCTAAGCAATCTGTCACTGTGTGACGTCGACTCTGTAGTCTCCTGGTAGAGTTCAAAAAGAAATTAAACCAAAATTTACTTTAGACCTTTGATAAAATTAACACAAATGAAGCACGTTATTTATTAATATTGAACAAATTTAATATACACAATAAAATTCGTCTGCAACTTTGGTTGCCTTTAAAAATTTACAAAAATAGGAATCGTTTAAGTCTTAACGTGGTTTAGTGACGTGACAATAAAATGTATTACAAAATGTGGAGACTCTCTACAAGTACCTAAAAACTAAATAAACATTGAAACTTTATAAAGTGTTTAAATGAACTATAAAGAAAAAGAAAATGAACACTTTATTCCGCTGATACTCAAATATAATCAAAATTTCAAATGATCCCCAAAATTATTGTCCAACCTCACTTTAAAACAGTTCTGATTTCTTTAAAGGAAACTAACTACTCAAAAATAATCGGTAAAACTGGAATATCAATCCTCTCTTCGGAAGTTTAGGTACGTACTATTCTATTTTTAATTTAATGATCATTAATAATTTCAATTTTTAAGGCCTATCGCAATTATGTTAATTCATGAATTTTAATTTTCTCAATTTAAATGACATTTCTATACTCCAATATAATTTATAAGTGAAATTGTTTCTCTTACTCTCTGGAACAAATTTCTGGATATCTCTGCTGTGGAAACTGTGGAAAAACTAAATTCTAATTAGACGAGTTAAAAAACACTCCCGACCTATTTCACAGTTTCAGGGCTCTCCTTCGTCCAAAAAAACCTCGTCGGCGTCCTCTCCAAAAACCAATTCCCATTATTATCCGTTGCTAACAGCAACCAACGTTCTTTTTTTTTCTGTCTTCTATTTAAATATTTTAAACCATAAAACTGTCCTGTTTGACATATTTGTCAAGCCACATTACTTTCTCATAATCACTTTAAACACATATAATTTGGGAATTTACAAAAAAAAAATGTTTAGATATAAAACTTATTCTATTACAATACTAATTTATTCTTTTCATCTCCACATCATTGTAATTTCTTATTTAACAAAACCCCTATTAATTTAGCTCCCACAGACTGTCAAATAAACTGTCAAGCAGTTTATTTTCTGACGTTTATTAAATTTCTGTTTAAATATTTTTTTAAAATTCTTCTTTTTTTGTTCTTTTTAAGGTTTAGACGATTCACCTATACACTAGGCAACTATACTATTCAGAAATTATTAACACTATACCAGGTAAGTCAAAATTAATTTATTTAACAATTTACTAATCTTTTTCTCTCTTTTATTTCAGAGTCGAACCCACATTGTGATGGCTTCATGAAATTCATAAACAACAAACTCATATAAAAATCCATTTAAGTTGTATATATTTTAACATATTGAAATCATTTCAACTTCCCCCCAATTTGGATTTTGTTCAGTGCTAACTATCAGCACTTACTAAATCTAAATTCTTACCGGTAAACTTAAATATTTTATTAATATTAACATAACAATAAACTGACTTTTATTAATAAGCATATCTCTTGAATATTTTTTTTTTATAAGTTACTCTATGACAAATACAGAATTTTCCAAACAAAATCTATAAATCTTTCACTTATTATATCAACTTTAGAATCAAATTTCCAAGTACTTTCCCAATTTCTTTACTTCTTTTCCTGTACTATTTATTTCTTGTACTATTTTCGTAGAAATTCTTATAATTGTTCCCCTCTTTATTTTATATTTTTATTTATTTATTTATTTCCGCATATACTATTTCAGTATCTTTATTCATTGCTGCATTATTATTTATTCTTTTTATATCCCCATATAATATTCATTTCATCATCTCTACATATAACTCTCTATATTTCATATTTCAATATTTCATATAATTCTATTTTTCATCTTATTTCCGCATATACTATTTATCATTATAATATTCCCTATTTCCCAATTTCTACAAAATATCGATTTGTCCATAGTACTTTGCTCATTTATTTATACTTGTAACTCCTATAAATCTACTTGAAAATAAATCAACCTTTTTTGTTTATATAAATTCATCATTATTCTGTACATCTGTTCCTAATAAATTATTTAATTATCAAATTTATCTCAAGATATGCTTATTTATTAATTATCCTTCTATTTACAAAACTTATATCTTATAATACCAAATAATTCGTGTCATAATATTGTCCTTATTTAAATTATTTACAATGTTTTTGTTGATTAGAGTTACTTCTGAACCTGTATCTAATAATAACTTGTATACTGAATCTTGTATGTACCCTTCAATAAACTTTAAAGTATTAGTGTTATTATTTTTATTTAATTCCCCAGTATCTCTAATAAACTCCCTTGGATGTTCATACTTTGATAAGTAGACAATATTATGCACATAGGAGCGGTCTAAGCAAAATTTCTCCCTTCTGCATCAACACTTGCTTCCCCCCTATTCTCCTCTGTTCTAACTACATTCACCTGTCTTCTCTCCTCATTTTTCCCTCTATTATATCTTGGATTCCCTTCTCTGTAAACTTCCCTATTTCTCGTCTCCTGCGGATAATTTCCCTGGTTCTGTCTCCAATTATTGCCTCTGTCATTTCCTTGTCTCCAGTTATTCCCTCTATCATTGTTTTTCCTTGTCTACGTTCCCAGTTATATCTTCCGATATCTCTCCTGGCATTGTTCATATTCTCTCCCCTATTTGTAAAATCCCTGCTTCTATTTTGTCTCTCAAATTCTCTTTCCCTATAATTATTCCCTTGATTCACATATCCCTGTCTATTTGCTGTGTTATTCCTATATGTCCCTTGCTCTTGTCCATTTCGATTTTGCGTTCCTATACTCCTCTCAATCCTCTGAAGATATCCTGTCAAACTTTCCATCGTCTTTATATTGTGGAGAG